TCTAGTTTCTTAATCTATTTTTTTTTTTTGGAGATGTTTTTGCTATAGGGTGCGTGTGTTTGCCAGAGAGACAGAGAGACAGAAAGTGAGAAATCACCCTCCAGAAGAGATGGACACGCCGCAATCCCTTCTCCTCCATTCTCCTCTCGGGATCTTGGGAACACACGCACATGAGCCCAGCTTGAGTTTAAGCCACCGGGTCCAGGACTTGAACCGTGGTTGACTACATGGGAGTTAGCGACGTAGCCATTACACCAACTGCTGGTCCCTTCTTAACTATTTTAACATCCATTATACTGTACGGTGAACTAATAGGTACGGAACAGATCTCCAGAACTGCAAGTTACACAACTGAAAATGAATACCTATTGACTAGCAACTCCCATTCCTCCTCTCCCAACCCCAACCCCTGGCAAATCCCACTCCACTGTCTACTTCTATAAGTCTGACCACTTTAGAAACCTCATACAGGTGGACACATTCCACTTCCTCTTTATTTCTAATGGCCAGTCTGGGTCCACAGAGCACCACTACCTCCCCGCCCAAATGCAAATGCCTTGAACCCTTGAGTGATAAACCACAGCCTCCCAGAGTGAGGCCAGGATGTGCACAGTTTAGACAATCTCCCTAGGCAACTGTGATGTGCAACTCCGATTTAAAAATCACTCAATTCAAACTGATAGGCTCTGACTTTTACTGCTCAGGCACAATTACATTTGGCTGGGGCCCCAGTTAGGAGTCAAAAGGCTGACTGGCCATAAATGGCATCATCAGAGCTGTCCCCAACCATGGCCCAATCAGCTACAGGATGAAGCTCAGTGTTCGAAAGGACAAAGCGCACACACGTCTCCAGGGCCAGGTGGATTATGAAGTCACTCTCCCAGCAGACACTGGGTGCCTTGTCATCCTGGTTGACAGACGAGTTGTGAAGTTTCCCATGAAACAGAGGATGTGGTGAGGCTGGCAGGCTGAGCACAGGTACAGAGGTGTGGGCCTTGCCTCAGAGGCACCAGCCTCAGTGAGAATCTGGCTGCCCCCACTTCAAAGCCCCCCAAAAAGCAGCTCAGTCAGATGCTGCAGGTTTCCTATCCTCACAGATCTCTAGAGCTTAACTGGAGTTTGGAGTAGCAACAGTGATCCAGTTAAGGACCTCAGAAAGGCCAGGTGGCAAACACACCCCACCAGACACTCTTGTCACATAGCAGCATCCCATCAAAGTGCACCCTTGTCTTGAGAGGGCCTGTATCTCATTCCTTTTGGTTTCAGACACCTGACTAAAATTGATAAAGGTACACAATAAATGAGAAATAAATGAACAACAAATGAATATGTAAGTATAAGTTTTGCCTGAACGTGGACTTTCTAACTCACCAATCTGTGAATGCGCGAGCCTGTTTCTGCCCAGGGTCTTGCCAACAGCTACATTTGTCACTAAAGATTTATATTTAGGTGTTTCCTTTCCTCACTAGAATGGAGGCAGTGTGAGCATGGTGGCAAGAACCAGGCTCAGACCAGACAGAGCAGAGACCCAACATGACCATCCCTTAGCAGCTGCAGGTCTAGGATAAGGTACTTAATGCCCACTGACCTTCAGTTGCCATCTTTGGTCTTTAAAGGGTTGAAAAGGTTTATAGTAAACCGAATAGCTACAAGAGTCTCAACATGTTTCTGATTACTCTGTATTTTCCATTTATTTATATTTTAAGATAATTAGGGGGGGGAGGTTAAATTTATTACAATTATTTTCCTAACAGGCTGTTTGCCTCTGCTTACCATGGTTGTCGATGACCTTGAACTCAAACATCTACTTTGTGGAATCTCAATAATTCCTTTGTAGTTCCTTGTATTGCTTTTTAAGTTTGACCTTTTCCCACTCAAAAACCAGATATCTATCAACATTCTTCTCCTTTGTAATGTCTGATTTTTTTAAAACACTCAAGTCAATACAAATAGTATGATGACAGGATCTAATTGTTTTTTTCCCAAAAATAGTTAACGAAGTCTCCCAGTACTGTTTATGAAATGGTCTTAAGTAAATATTCTCCACCGAGCGCATTGAAAAATGCGAAGTAATGCTGAGGGCAAAGTGAGGTCCAACATCAACCTGGGGGGCCCAGTACAAGCCCAGGGCCCAGTGAAAGTCATACCTAAGATTCGGATTTTATTAAGAGGCCATTTCATTGTGATGAACCTTCCTAAACCCCAAGTTGCTCATCCCCAGTCCTCCTGGCTACCCACCCTCGAGCTACCAGAAGGGCTCCCAGAATAGGGAATGTGCTGCAGTGCGATTTGCTGCCTCTTAGTAGTGCTGGTGAAATTCTTAATGGGAGGAATTATTGCCAAGATAAATTTTGGATAGTACTTGAAAGTTTCCAAAATCTGAGACCAGAGTCCCCACTTCTGACGGGCTGTGTTATATCTTCACTGAAGCCTCTGACCATCTGTTCTGCCAACTGAGCAGAAGCAGGTTCCAGGCACCACCCACTCCCACTGGGAGCACAGTAGGAAGGACAGAGAACACCACCCAGCTGGCCAGGCAAGCAGCCTAAAGCTGGCCTGACCACTCTCTCATCCTACTGCTCACTCACGTGACTGTGGAAATGCCCAAATAGAGGGAGGTGAAATGCAATCATGGTTAAAGCCATGCACCTTCGAATCACAGACACCCAGATTTGAGTCCCTGAGATTTACCTGCCAAGCAGTCTTGAGTACAATACTTACCTTCAAAGAATCCCAAATCATCAACTTCTATAAAATGGGCATAGCAGTAATAGCCAATGTCTCCAGGCACTCATAAGGATCAGATAAGGTAATTAATACAGTCTTTGCACTGCAGCTATTAGTATTTGACATAGCTTTATCTTCTTCCAGGGAATCCTGGTCTGATTTTCATTTTCAAGACATGAAGGACCACAAGGTGTCTGCCTCACAGGACCCCAGTATTTGCAGAATTTCCTTCTGGCACTCACCCTCCCCAGCCTCTGCCCTCTCCTTCTCCCACCTCTCACCATCCACCAGTGACTTATTCTTCCAATATGGAGTCAGTGATTGCAGACCTGGCCCAGGGTCACTCAGATGAATCTCAGACCTTGGCCAGAAGAGTCCCATACCCCAGCAGACCTGGGATTTTAACATAGTAAATGTATATTCTTTTAGAGCGTTTTTTTTTTTTTTTTTTCTTGGTAGATAACCTGAAAGATAGGATTGGATTTCAGGGCAAAGACTGTCAAGTCTACTGCTCCTTTTCCTACACCCAATGTATGGTGAGCACACGTGGCCTTGAGTCTGTCGCAATGCCCTGTCCCATCTCACTGTTTCAGATCCTGACAGCTCCAAGCAGAGGTGCCAAGTCACTGATGCTGTTTCTCTCTCCAGGTAAGGCTGGAAAGGTGTGAGGGACGAAGACAAATGTGGGTTTCAGGGTTATTTCTGGAGTGTAGCATCAGTCTCTGGAGGTGAAAATTGGACCCAGCAACAGCAACATTGCAGGTTACGAATACTGGCTGCCACAGGCCTTCCTGTACACCACAGCTGGTCCTCAGTCCCAGGCCTGCTTGCTCTGCAGAGGTACAGGCACGGGAGCTCTAAAGTGAAACCATCTAATCCACTTTTGGTAAGCAGTAAGTGGCAAAGAAGCCACAGAAAATGGATTCCCTTATGCAATCTTGGAAGGGGTTAGTAATCTGGGAGAAGGAAGTAGAAGGAACCTGAAGTGAAAGGAGGCCAAGGTGAAAGATGCCTTCCTGCAGTGCTGCCCAGGGTCTGTTGCAGGATGCAATGTCTACACAGGACTTGCTGCAATTTGGAAGGGCTGGGGGACAGAAAGGGGATGAAACGAAGGAGATAAAAGGTGACATGGCATTCCATATGACACCATGGTGGTGCACACACAGCACTATGCAGCTGTCAAACTCACAGAACTGGAGAGTGTGAGCGACCACGACCTCTAGTTTCTATACGGTACCAACAGTGGTCCACTCACTGTAACAAAGTGCCACACTAATGGTGGTGTAGTGATAATAAAAATACAGCCGCGTGAGGCAAGTCCTAGGTTCTCATCCTGGGACCACTGAGCACCCTGCATGCATGCATGTGCCTATAATCTGGGCTGGCTAAGACTAGGGGTGGGTCGTGGCATGAAGGACCCAATTGGGAGTACCTGTCTCACTCTCTTTCTCATGGAAGAAATATAAAAACCTTTTTTAAAAATAATAATAGAGGGACCAGCAGATGGTGTAATGGCTACATCGCTGGACTCCCATGTAGTCAACAGCAGTTCAAGTCCCGGACTTGGTGGCTTAAACTCATGCCGGGCACATATGCATGCATGCCCAAGATCCCAAGAGGAGAATGGAGAAGGGATTGCAGTGTGCCTATCCCCCTTGGGGGGGGGGGGGCTTTCTTGCTT